AATGTATAGGACAGTTCGTGGGGATCTTATATTATTAATTCCCATATAATGGTACATTCATTAACAAATAGAACGATTATAGAACAAACTACTAAATTAATTTATAATCCCAACCAATTTAGTGTCATCTTGCTAATCTCTTGTGAGTATAAAAGATTCTGAATTCGAATAATGTAACATATAAATAGAGCAAGTTAAAAGATAAGAAAAGATTGTTTTTCATCATGTAACTTAAGAAAAAAAATAACAATAGTTTAGGAGATTCAAAAATTGCATTTAGTTGTATGAGATACGGACATGGTAAATTAGTGGATAAAAGATGGTCACCTTTTATATATTATACAATTTTTTCTTTAAAAAAAAAAAACCATGGTTTAGTGAGTCTGTTGCATGTCTAAAAACGTTCACGGCAAGATGGAGTCCTCTGAACCCCCTCCTGTGAATCCGATTCCCCCGTCCCCACCCCCACCGCCAGACTTACTCACCACCATCTCAACACCTCCTGGTCCAGATCTGCCACAACCAGCGCCCACCCAGCCCGAGACTAGCCCAATGCCGCCGGTGAAATCCTTCAAGGACACGTTGGTGGATGGAAGTGCTTCCATTGAGCCTCCCCTAATCACATATGATGAACTGGTGGTTGCAAACCTCAATTTCGAGTCCTCAATTCCCATGGCAGAAGATGGGACAAATTCTCCCAAACTGAAGATCCCCAAAGTCAGAATACCCAAATCAATATGGCAACGACTTTGTGCCCCTTGGAAGAATGCAGTAATCATCAAGCTTTTAGGGAAATCGGTTAATTTCCATGTTTTACACTCACGTTTGTTGAAGGAATGGCGAACAGAGAACGAATTTGAAGTCATTGACGTGGGTTTGGGCTACTACATAGTCAAATTCTCTTCTCTGCAAGATTGTTCTAGAGTTTTAACAGGGGGACCATATAAATTGTTTGATCACTACCTGGCTGTTCAACCGTGGGAACCAGGCTTTCATCCTGCCAGAGCTAAGGCACCTAAGACAGCGGTGTGGATTAAATTGCATGGTGTTCCAATCGTCTGCTACCATGAAGCTATCTGTCTCTATCTTGGCAGTAAAATCGGTAAACCAATCAAAGTCGATCCTGCCACCCTCCTTGCTACCAGAGGCAAATTCGCAAGAGTCTGTGTTGAAGTTGATCTCAGCCAACCCCTTCCATCCTCTGTGGATCTAGACTTAGAGGAGTTGCCTCAATCCCTCATCCCAATTGAATTTGAAGGCTTACACAAAATCTGTTTCCATTGTGGTGAATTCGGACACATAGAGGAGTATTGTCGCTTCAAGAATCCAGGAAAGGCCCCTCCGCCGAGCAATCCTAGCTCGAAGGCTATGGTAGAGTTAACTCAAACTCTAAAACCAAATACAGAGGACAATGATATGACCTTTGGTCCATGGATGGTTCAGCAAAGGAAGCCACGCCGACAGCAGCAACTCCGCCGTCCGGTTGAGCAATCGGCCGGCACGTTCCCTACTCCTCCGAAAATCCAGGACCACCATAACTCCACCACAATTATTGCCACTTCCGGTTCTCATGAATCAATGCGTAACCGTTTCGAAGTGATGGCAGCAATAACAGAGGAAGACACAGCTTTGCTAAACGGAAATATGGTTATTGAACCACCGTTGGCGGGAATCTCGTCTCCAATTAAAGATCCCACAAGCCATTCTATGCCTATGGATATTATCCCCACAAACCTACCTCCAGCTCCATCAACAGCCTTTGTAAAGCCCAAACCCAAGAAGAAAAAAATCAAAATAGGAGGCCCAGTCCTTAAAGACCCTAAGCCTGTTCTTCACAAACCTTATCAGCCCCCACCGGGCATCACTAAACAAAAGGAATACTCACTTGTATTACCTACAGTAGCAGAAACCCAGAATTGCATGGCTGCTACGTCGAGCTCTACCTCTACAGTGGCAGAAGCTAATCCCCGGCACAATCAAAGCACCTTACTCGCGGCGTCTGAACAAAATCCAGCACAGGCACTAGCTTCAAATGATTCGGCTATCATGGTGAAAACTCACCCACCCCCGGCTGCGGACTCCACGCAGCAAATTCACCCATCATTCTCTAATTAAATGAAGATTGTGACATGGAATAGCCGTGGTGTTCGGCATGCTCCTTTTAGGAGGGAATGTAAAGAACTGATTAAGATGCAAAAACCAGAAATTATTTGCTTCTTGGAAACGAAAGCAAAAGTCGACTCACCAGATCTTAGGTTCATGTTGAGATTTGGTTATGATCAACAATACAGAGTTCATTCTCTTGGCAGAGCGGGTGGTTTATGGTTGTTCTGGAAGTCCTCTTTAGTGGATCTAGAGGTGTTATCATCTACCAACCAAGCCATTCATTGTCTTGTTAGGCAACAACGCCTCCTCTTCCTCACTACTTTTGTATATGTGCAGCCACACACTGCCATGAAAAATGAGTTTTGGTCTTTTCTGCATGACTTAGCATTATCTATCACTGGAAGTTGGGTTGTGATGGGAGATTTTAACGACATAGCCACTGTGGATGAAGCCTCACCTAGAGCAATGAATAGATTCACCAGTGCTCGTCGTTTCCGGGATCACTTGGACACTTGTACTTTACTTTCAAAAGACTCGTTGGGGTGCAAGTTCACTTGGATACGCAAAGCCAACGGTAGAACTATTCTGAGGGAGAGGCTTGATAGGGCACTCTTCAACATGGCTGGTCTTGAAGAGTTCCCGGATGCAAAGCTCATTAACCTACCTAGATTATGTAGCGACCATCATCCAATCATGCTGAACATTGACCCCCCTATTCAGATTTCAGGTGCTGCAAAGCCACCTAGATTTGAGGCTGCTTGGTTGACTCATGAGGGCTTTACAGAGGTGTTCGGTAGTGCATGGAGGGCTCAGGATCACTCACTTCCCTTGGCCATTAATGCAGTACAATCAGCTTGTTTTACTTGGAACAAAACAGTGTTTGGAGATTTGTTTCGACGCAAAAGACTCCTTAGAGCAAGACTTGTGGGCATACAAAACTCCCCTCATTATACCTACTCACCTTTCCTGCAAAGCTTGGAAACTGAACTACTGGAAGAGTATCACAATGCTTTGCAAGCCGAGGAATTATTTTGGTGCCAAAAGTCTCGAGTGGAATGGATTAATTCTGGTGACAAGAACACGAGATTCTACCATGCATCC